CCCGCCGAGGGGACACCCGAGGGCCGCCCGCCGCCATCTTGGCCGCCCCCGGCCGCCATTTTGAGCGCCCCCGGCCGCCGCCGCCGCCATGTTGGGCGCCCCTCGGCGCGGCGCGGCGCTGCTTTACGGCCATCTTACGGCTGCGGCGGCCTCGCTGCTGCGGAACGAGGACAGCGGGGCCGGCCGGCCGTGGGGGGAGGAGGGAGGGCTGGATTTTGTGCGAGGCCCAGCGAGCTGCTCCCCAGAGCCAAAACAAGGCGATTCTCTGCAGGGTGAAGGCCGAGAGCTGCTCGGGGCGGTCGGCGCAGCGCCCGCTCGCAGCCACAGCCCACGTTTACAGCTCAGCTTGGGACACTTTGTATCGTCAGGGATTGACGGCCGTGTGCCACGCTTACCTGGCGTGCCCCCAGAGTTTATTGCCCGTAAGCACAGCGGAGCGGAGCCGCTCCCCGGCCGATGCCCTCAGGGCCGCGCGCCCCGGAGGAGCGCAACGCAGCGCCGCCACCTGGGGGCGCCCTAAGGACGGGAGTGGGGGGGGGAGGAGGCGGGGACGCCAGCCAATGGGAGCGGAGCGCGGCGCCGCCGCAGCCAATAGGAGCGGAGCGGAGGGAGGGGGCGGGACTGAAGGGCGGCGATCGCGCGGCGCGGCTGTCGCGCAGCCCGGGTGCGGAGCGGAGCGGCCATGCCGGTGGAGCTGGGGCTGTGGGACGGGCCGCTGAGCCTGAGCGAGGTGGAGCAGAGACCCGCGCACCCGCTGCGCGTCAAGTACGGCTCCGTGGAGATAGACGAGCTGGGCAAGGTGCTCACCCCCACGCAGGTGAGCTGGGGGGGGGGGGCTGCGGCCGCTCAGCACGGCGGGGGGGCGGCCGGGCCGGCGCTCCTTCCACGGCAGCGGCGGCTTCGGGGCTCCGCTGGGAGCGGGGCGGGGCGGGAAGAGCCGCGTGGTGACGCTGCCGGTCCTTCAGGTGCAGCACCGGCCCACCAGCATCGAGTGGGATGGCTGTGATCCCCACAAGCTCTACACCCTGGTGCTCACCGACCCCGATGCGCCCAGTAGGAAGGATCCGAAGTTCAGGTAATGTGGTGATTTCCTATCGAATCTGAGGAAAATGGAGCGTTGCTTTTAGACCGAGCGGCTGGCAGGAGGCGGGGGACGTGCTCTGCCCTTGTATCCGTCCTCACAGACCTGCACAGTGCAAGGCAGAGCAGCTGATTGTGCCGTTTTCTGCCAGTAGCTTGAAGCGGCGCAGATGTGCTGCTCGTTGTGCTGCGTGCAGGAATTGCAATTAGGGCTCAGTGCAGCGGGGAGCAGCTCGCTGTCAGGAACGCACGCAGCACTCGCTTCTGGGCTCGGAGGTGGGTGCTGGTGCTACAGGGATGGAGCTACAGGACGGAGCTGCCCATGGGCTCTGAGCCCTGCAGCAGGCACTGGGCTCCAGCTGCTCTTTGGGTTTAACGAATTAGAAATGGCAGCGGTTAGATTTGGTTATCCTAAACCATGGGAAAGCAGCTGCTCGGAGCTGTGGAAGGTCGTACCTGAGGGTTGTTGTGCAGCCTGATTGTTTTATTTTTAGTTTTTTAACCTTCTTTCAGAGAATGGCATCACTTCCTGGTGACCAACATGAAAGGTAACGATGTGGGGAGCGGGACCGTGCTGTCAGACTACGTGGGCTCAGGGCCCCCTAAAGGAACAGGTGGGTGCCTGCCTGCAGCAGTCCCAGTGCCTGGTGGTGGTGTGGGTGGGTAGGTGAATGTGGGCTTGGAGGGGAGCACAGTGCTGCAGAAGTGGCCCACGGGTCCACCTGCATCTAAATCCAAGCCTGGTCAGGAGTTAGCAGCGCCACCCCTTCTGTATCGGTTGAGGGGCTGTGTCTGCATTCAGTAGCCAGAAGGAGCACAGGTGTGACACGAGCCATTCAGGCATCTCAAGATATCTCCCTTAAGCTCATTTAGCTCAGTCATACTTATCCCAGGGAATGGTGGTATTGGCTGCCAGCAATCCTTGGGTGGACACGGGCTTTTTTTCTGACCTGGGTTCACTTCAACCCTTCAGCCCTGGAACTCCAAGCAAGGAGCGCTTGTAATGCTATCTCATCCCTGCAGGGCTGCACCGCTACGTGTGGCTGGTGTACGAGCAGCCGAAGCAGCTGGCCTGCAATGAGCCCATCCTGTCCAATCGCTCCGGCGACAAGCGAGGGAAGTTCAAGGTAGCAGCTTTCCGCAGCAAGTATGAGCTGGGGGTGCCGGTGGCTGGCACTTGCTACCAGGCAGAGTGGGATGACTATGTACCGAAACTCTATGAGCAGCTGTCTGGGAAATAGGGGGAAGGGACCTGACCACGCACTGTGCTGCATTCTCCGTTCCCTTGGAGACCGGTCTTGTCTAAGCATTTCTCTGTAGTTTTGTTTGCCTGGTGAGCTGAGAACCAGCTGCTCCTGCACTGACAACTTGAGCTGTAACTTGAACTGTAACCCCATCGATCTCTGTGAAGTGAATCTGCTTTGGTGTCAGAGCGGTCTGGCTGTGCATTGTGCTTCAGTTGGCTCCTGTAGGTACAGGCCATAGCTAAATAGGCTTCTGAAAAGCTGATGCTGTGAGAGCTGCCCCCATGGCCAACCTGCTCAAGGGAAGTCTAAGCCTTTGTGACTCAGTGCCACTTCAGAGTGTCTCTACTGTGTTAAAATGGTGTTATGCAGCAGCAGTGTGGGTACAGAACCACTTCTGTCTGTGAAGCCTTCTTTTTCCAGGAGGGGAGAAGGCAGCAGTCTATAAGGGAAACTGCATTTTTTTCTCCCCTGCAAGTATTTGGCCGGTGCCTCCACTAATGTGAACCACTAATTAGTAGAATGAGGTAGGGACTCTGGTTTATAGCATTACTTTCTGATCTCTGTTTCCACTCAAAGCTGAAAGGCTTTGCTTTGCTCAACTTCTCTTGTGACCTGGTGTTTGCTCACAGTGCAATTAAACACTTTGCAAGGTGGATGGATGGTGTGGTTGTCTTCTTGGGCCGGGGGGGAAGAGGGGAACACTTACAGGAGCAGTGTGATGTAGCAGGGCTCCTCTTCCCGTGTGGAAGGAGAGGCTGGAGCCTTGTGCTGGGAGCTCCACCATCCTGACAGTTGCCTTAGCATTTCCTGGGCTTGAGGAATGAAGTGCAAGGCAGGCACATCCCAGAAGCCCCTGCCTCACTCATCTCAGGGTAGTGTAGCCCCTAGAGCCTGTTACCTATTGCTAATGCATTCCTTGCAGCAAAACGGGGCAGCATTTGCTCACTTGAGTGCAGGTTTCACCTCCTGTGACATGCACTACCACCAGTATTACACACCTGAAGATGCATCCCAGCCCTGCTGCAGGGTACACTTGTTGCTGCTCTTCCAGCAGCCAGGCCTGGTGTTGTTTCCTAAGCACTTGGGGCAGGAAACAAACCGGGATTCAAGTCACAGGCTTGGTTTTAAAAAAATGAAGACAATGTAACTGCTGCACACAACTGGAAGCCTTCCTCCTCCTCCTTGTAACTGCTTCATGTCTCAAAGGAACTGTTTTTAAGGGGTGTGAAAAACAGACATGCATTGCAAACCTCAACACCTTGTAGCAACGCCCTGTGGAAATCAAGTTACTTTATATCCTTTGCCCCCAGGGTGGTCTTCCAACCCATCCCTGAAACTCCATACCTGTAAGGCAGCACAGCCAGACCTGCAGCACGGTGCCAGCTGGTGGTGTGGTGGCACAGGCAGAGCAGAGACAGCACCTCATAGGCACAGGTCCTCCCAGAAAGGCAGTGTTTCAGGGGAACACCCCAACTAAACACACCAAGATATACAACAAAACACCAGAGGGAGCAGAGCCCAAGAGCTGAGCCAGTTCAGAACTTCTCAGACTGGAAGAAAGGCATAAAATAAAGAGATGAGCAGCAATGCAGCAGACTGAACACATCCCCTCCCCTCAGCCCAGAGCCATGAGCCACTCCTCCCCCAATGAGACAGCAAGGCACTGTGATGAACACTTTTATTTACAAATATAATTAAAAGCTCTGACAGTTACTCATGCTCTTCCTTTGAACCTGAAAAACGTTTTTTTTTTGTTTTTTTGTTTTTTTTGCTGTTTTGTTTTCTTTGTTACTTTTTTTTTTTTAATTTTTATTTTTTTTTATTTAAAGTGCATGCAAAAGAAGTAAAGCCTTTTTT